GGTATCACCAAGACGTTTGAAAAAGCAAATGGGAAATTCTGAGATCACAATTTATGAGGGAACAAGCCCTAGAACGAAAAAAAAGTCTCTCCAGATATCTTCGAAAGTCAGTTTATTATTATGCGCTTGCTTGCCCCTTTGTTTTCCGTGACCCTTTGTTTTTCTTTGTTTTTCACCTGGTCAGCAAAAAGTTTTGTCTGCCAGTCCTCGCTGATTTAGTAACTCCAAAAACATAACAAGAAACAATGTTTCCTTAACTATGTTGCCAGACAAGTTTAGCCAGACTTCTACCCTTCTTCCAGTTTCCTGCTTTTGGTTGAATAACTCATCAGATAACACCTCGATTATATTTTTCAATGAACATGTTTTAATTATTTATTTTACTATTTTCTTTTCTTCGCCAGAGTGGAATTGCTCCAATTCAGTACGTGAATTGTAATCTCATTTAAAGGGTATTTTACATTTACACTTTATATTCTTGTAACGTCACCCAGTGACATGAATGCAAGATTAAATAAGTAAAATTTAAATAAATACAAAAATAAATAGGGAAAGCTCAAGTAAATTGGAATAAATTACACCGAATAAAAGTGGTCAGAGATGGTGGCCTTAAATTTTGTGTAAGAGTCTATCGAATAGAAATCAAATGGAAAACTGTTGCAGTCAATGATAGTTTTTGACCAGAAACTATACTTATAAGTGTCTCAGGATGTAATGAGCGGGATTAATTTCAATGGATAAGACGGTATAGTTTTTAAAAAAGACTGATGTTGTAGATAACTTGGGATGTAAAATAGAGGCCTGGTTTTAAGGCCTGTATGCAAAAGTGCAAATCTAGCTACTTGTCTCCTTTTCTCCAGCGTTGGCGAATTTAGTTGCTTCAGGGATTAATTAGCCTTCTTCTCTCGCATACCTTCTCGTTATAAAGCGTGCTGCTCTTCGTTGAACCAGCCAGTTATTTTAGAAAGTGGCAAGTGTTTTTTCGAAATGAAAGCACAAAGGTGGCGAATTGACAAGGGATTCGAAGCGTACGTGTTATGCTAATTATTTACTTGGTAGTTTTCACTGGAATGTTATCCCACGCATTGTAATTATAAAATACTCTCAGTTATTTCTGGCAAGGTCACTTCATTACATTTTCATTTGCTATTTTAATTTCACAGTATTTATTCAACCAATAAGAAGGAAAGGTGAAAAGTTAAACAGATGCAGTTTGCACATCGAGTGCCAAATTAGGCTGCAAGTGTCAACGGATTTTGAAACGAAGGATAGCTACCGCACGTACAAGAAAATCGTTCAAACAGTTAAGTAGATTTTCCCTTGCTCAGACACAACATTTAAGAGCAGCAAACTATAAAAAGCAAAGTTTTCAACTGGATATACAAGCATCCAACAACAGCACTGTTTGAAGCTGTGTCCCTGGTAAATGGCGAGTGTGTTGCCCGCAATGGCAAAGGAAAACTCAACGGGTGAAGATTACGACTTCTATCTTCGGATCATAAATGTTCCTGAGTTCTGGCTTGGTTTAGCTACAACAGGCTTTGCGATGTCTGCAGTAACTTTTGTATCGAACGCCATTCTGCTCTTCATTATTTACAAGGACCCTCGACAGTCGTTTCGCACGGCGCCAAGTTTCCTAATCGCCAATCTGAGCGCATCCGAACTTTTGCTTGGAATTGTAGTTGTGTTTCCCGTGGCCTTGAGAGATGTGTTGCGGTACCTTCAATTGCCTCTGTCTCACGCTGGTCTGCTGAAAGCTATTATCTACATCATTGTTTCCACGACGCTGTTTGTTAGCAGGTTCACTTTGATCGCGATGTCCTTGACTTGTTACATTGCGATCAACAACCCCATGTTCTACAGAACCACGATTACCGAGAAAAGAATCAAAATTCTGATTGCGTCGATATGGATTGTAGCTCTGCCAATTTCGCTTCTTCCGGCAACGAATTTAGCGGAGAAGACGTACACACTGATTTACCTTCACACTCACGTCTCGCTTCCCGCCATTGTTCTGACGCTCGCGTATATTAACGTTTTTCGCGCGTTCTCGAGACGCAAACAAGACGCTCGTGTCAGCTTCAAAAATTCACGGATAGACAAAAGACATACGTTGGCGCGGGAAAGAAATATGGCCATCACTATCATAACCATTCTGGTGTTGTTCTTTATCACGTGCGTTCCTCTCTATACCACGTTACATTTGCTATACCTCTGCAAGACATGCCAAAAGTCGGTCACGTTTCATAAAATTGACGTTGTTGCATCACGTTTGTTGTTCATCAGTTCTTCAATTGATCCATTCATCTACGCCTGGAGGGTTCCAAAATATCGCCAAGCACTGCGCGATTGTTTCAACATTCTAAAACACAGCTTAACATCCAGATTTAGGTCAAATCTAAATGTGGGGTTGTCCTTTTCGAGGAAAAGTACGACAAACATTAACAGTTCCTCGTCTTGTTTGAGCGCTGTAAAGTAGCGAGAAATCTCTCCGCTGGTCAATATTCCCGGGCAATCTGCACAATTATACTTATTTACTTCAATGCAAGATTGGCTTCAGTTTCCTCGAAATTGTAATGAACGAATGAATATTGAGTGGGGAATAGTGTGCGAAACAAATAAGACGAAAACGGCCAGAAAAACTAAAGGATATCCAATAATTTTGAGAAAAAGTCTAAATTTGTTTGTCTCTTAAACAATAGCTAACTGGCCATAACAATGCCCCTGGTTCCAGAATACAATACAGGTAGTGTTTTCAAAGGGAAAATTAGGAAAATAGAGATTCCAGAGAGGTAATTAATGTATTACTGAAGATTTTATCTTAAAGGCGCGTAATGAATGTAGATCACTGACAAAGTGTTGCTTAGTGACTCCTTTAGAATCTCACTGAACTTAATAGCTTGTTATAACATAAAAGTAACTAAATTTATGATTACGTTCAAAGAGGATAACTTCATAGCCATAGCTGATGTCGCTTTTTTTTCACAGACTGCCAGGGTGGGAGAGCAAAATAAATTTAGTTACAAGAATAAAGGATTATTTATAACACGTTTGCTTGTATTCAGTTGCTGTTGGTTTTGAGTCGCTATCGCTTTAATCACTTCGTTTCTTTTACCACTGAGAATTTGTAATGAACTGGTCCCAATTTTTACAAGCTTTCCATTTTTTTTCCACTTCCTGAGCAGAAGCTCAATTTAAGACGCAATCCGATAGGAAATCGAACAATTTCTGTTTTTAATGGACAAAAATCTTGTATATTACGGTCTTTTTTGCATATTCTAAAAGCTAAAGATATAAATAGTTGCCTGAAATAACACCAAAAACAATTTCTCATGGGAACTTGAGCAAATAAATTTCAAAGTTCAGAGAAATGGTGCAATCACAGGTAAAATTTCATCATCAGTTTC